ACTATTGTCTAACGCTTATAACGCCGGGTTAATTCGTGTTAAATTATGTCTTGCTAGAGCGCATGGCGCTGTTTTCTGACCGAATTACGTGATGGGGTAAAGCGCCCCAGTACGTCGCGGGGCAAAAGCCCCATCGGGCGTTTTACCTCATGTGCTGTTCGGACTACCCCCTTTTCTAATGTTTGGTAGCTGGCGAACAGTAAGTTTCTATGCCTTTGTATGCATTTTTCTCAGTGACTGGAAGGCAAAGAAGTATTTTGTTAACATAAGCATTGCAGTAATTTATTAATTGGCCTTATGAGGCAGGTGAGAAACCTGCTCATACAATAGTGTCATAGCTGCACACCTGATAGGATGGAATGTGCTAATTTCAGTGCCGTGCCTCCCGAGGTCTAACGGACCTCTCATATAACATTTAGCCAACTACCACATTAACCCGCGCACCGACGGGGGTCTGCGCCAACTTAGTACCGACGGGGGGGGGGGGGGCGGATGACCGCCCCCCCCCTGAGATCTCGAGAACGAAGCAAGATAGCGACAAGCGGTAAACGGCATCGGATACGCACGGACAAGGTCTACAATTTTTACAAAGGTCATTTTCAGGTCAGGTCAAAGATGACGTCACAGGGGTCGAAAAAGTCAAAATGGCGGCGCTAGATATGGAGAGGGTTTTTCTCGAATAACTTTCGAAGTAGTCAAGATAGGAACAAACTAAGGGCATCATCGTGATCCTCTCGTCAATCCGCATCGAATGATATATATGTTGACCTCGAAAGGTCAAGGTCAAAGGTTGACCTCAGGTCACGTGACCTCGAGGTCATCATGTATATCATTCGATGCGTCTTGACGAGCTGAACACAATGAGACCATCCGCGCGGCTGTATCTTGTTCCTGTAAGGAGTTATTGGCAAAAAACCTTTGGTGACCTTTGATGACGTCACATGACCTTACAGCTGCCCAACAGCAAAACAGACCTCAAGGTAGTGAAGGTTGATCGTATGTGAAGTCATGTATGGTATATGGGGCCATTCCGACCCGTTTTAGTGGTAAAAACAGGGAGTTGATTTTTCCCCCATTGACTTATAATGGGGAGGTCGCGAAATTGACCTGACCTTAGGTCACCGACATCAAAATTCCGAGATATACAAATTGTAGCTACTAATGACCTTATAACATCCTGCGACTTTCAAAGGCCTCCGACATCTACTGTAGCTCTGGCACGGTGACAAAGTTGCAAAAAAGTGACTTGAGGTTGGGTCATTCAAAGTGACCTGGTGACCTGACCTTAAAAGTTAGGAGGTTCAAACTTGCACAACATGTGTAAAATTAATGAGAGAATAGTCATACCAAATTTCGCGGCGCTACGCGCCGCGGTTTTCCCGCTATCCGCGAAAAACCTCAGGGGGGGCGGATATCCGCCCCCCCCCGTCGGTGCGCGGGTTAAATCTTTAGTCTAGAGTAAGGGGCTACTTGCCCCAGGCCGTGGGGCGTTTTGCCCTGGAGTCGGTATTGCCGAGGAGTTGGCGGCGGACCAGGTATGAGTTATTACCGTGTTGCAGAGGGCCGGGATGTCGGCGGCGGACTGATGTATGTGCATTCGGTGTTGCAGAATGGCCGAGGCGTCGGCGGCGGACCGATGTATGTGGATGAGATGCAGTGTGGCCGAGGCGTCGATGGCGGACCCGTTATGTGTTCTTACCGTGTTGGTATGAGTTATTACCGTGTTGCAGAGGGCCGAGGCGTCGGCGGCGGACCGATGTATGTGCATTCTGTGTTGCAGAATGGCCGAGGCGTCGGCGGCGGACCGATGTATGTGGATGAGATGCGGTAAGCTGTTAGTATGAGTTATTACCGTGTTGCAGAGGGCCGAGGCGTCGGCGGCGGACCGATGTATGTGCATTCCGTGTTGCAGAATGGCCGAGGCGTCGGCGGCGGACCGATGTATGTGCCTGAGTTGCAGAGTGGCCGAGGCGTCGGCGGCGGACCGATGTATGTGCATTCTGTGTTGCAGAATGGCCGAGGCGTCGGCGGCGGACCGATGTATGTGGATGAGATGTAGTATGTAGTGTTAGTATGAGTTATTACCGTGTTGCAGAGGGCCGAGGCGTCGGCGGCGGACCGATGTATGTGCATTCCGTGTTGCAGAATGGCCGAGGCGTCGGCGGCGGACCGATGTATGTGCATTCCGTGTTGCAGAATGGCCGAGGCGTCGGCGGCGGACCGATGTATGTGGATGAGATGCAGTGTGGCCGAGGTTCCGGCGGTGGACCCGTTATGTGTTCTTACCGTGTTGGTATGAACACATAACGGGTTGGTATGAACACATAACGAACACATAACATGTTGGTATGAACACATAACGGGTCACATAACACATAACACATAACACATAACACATAACACAACGGAACACATAACACATAACACATAACCGTGTTGCAGAGGGCCGAGGCGTCGGCGGCGGACCGATGTATGTGCTTGCGTTGCAGAGGGCCGAGGCGTCGGCGGCGGACCGATGTATGTGCATTCTGTGTTGCAGAATGGCCGAGGCGTCGGCGGCGGACCGATGTATGTGGATGAGATGTAGTATGTAGTGTTAGTATGAGTTATTACCGTGTTGCAGATGGCCGAGGCGTCGGCGGCGGACCGATGTATGTGCATTCCGTGTTGCAGAATGGCCGAGGCGTCGGCGGCGGACCGATGTATGTGGATGAGATGCAGTGTGGCCGAGGTTCCGGCGGTGGACCCGTTATGTGTTCTTACCGTGGTGGTATGAGTTATTACCGTATTGCAGAGGGCCGAGGCGTCGGCGGCGGACCGATGTATGTGCATTCTGTGTTGCAGAATGGCCGAGGCGTCGGCGGCGGACCGATGTATGTGGATGAGATGCAGTATGCAGTGTTAGTATGAGTTATTACCGTGTTGCAGAGGGCCGAGGCGTCGGCGGCGGACCGATGTATGTGCATTCCGTGTTGCAGAATGGCCGAGGCGTCGGCGGCGGACCGATGTATGTGCCTGAGTTGCAGAGTGGCCGAGGCGTCGGCGGCGGACCGATGTATGTGGATGAGATGCAGTGTGGCCGAGGCGTCGGCGGCGGACCCGTTGTGTGTTCTTACCGTGCTGGTATGAGTTATTACCGCGTTGCAGAGGGCCGAGGCGTCGGCGGCGGACCGACGTATGTGCATTCTGTGTTGCAGAATGGCCGAGGCGTCGGCGGCGGACCGATGTATGTGCATTCAAGGTTGCAGAATGGCCGAGGCGTCGGCGGCGGACCGATGTATGTGCATTCCGTGTTGCAGAATGGCCGAGGCGTCGGCGGCAGACCGATGTATGAGGATGAGATGCAGTGTGGCCGAGGCGTCGGCGGCGGACCCGTTGTGTGTTCTTACCGTGTTGGTATGAGTTATTACCGTATTGCAGAGGGTCCGAGGCGTCGGCGGCGGACCCGGTACATGTTCTTGCCGTGTTGCGGAGGGGCCGAGACGTCGGCGGCGGACCTGATGTATCGCGTTGCAGAGTAGCCGATGCGTCGGCGGCGGACCGATGTACTCGTATGTGCCTGAGTTGCAGAGGGCCGAGGCGTCGGCGGCGGACCTAATGTCCGCCGGTGCCGAGCCTAGCACGGAAGCCGTGGTGCTAGATGGCGCGGTGCGCTGGCAGCCGTTGAGTGCTGCGTGTAGTAGGGCTACTTTGCCACGACAGGAGGTTGTCCGCGGAGTCAGCGCAGACCAAGCACGCATAGTGCGCGTGACGGTACCATATAGCACGGCCCTGCATGACAGGCATACCGTGTTACGCGTCTCCCTGCACGATTACGTAAACGGCTGCGCTGAGTACACCTCGGAATAGGCGCGCGTCGGTATGATTCCGTGATACCGCCGTATTGCCATGCCAACCACTCCCCGCTGTGGTAGGTGCCGCCCGAGACGTGCTCGATACTCCTCACCTGCCGGGTCGGCGTTAGTGTGCCGGACCCGCAATCCTCTGGCGGTTGATCTCCCCGCTCTGTTGCTGCAGTGAAATGTAGTGGTGCAGCGGAGCGAGCGCTGGCTGGCCGGACCTGGCCGCTGGACGCTGCCCTGGGTACGGGCGGCCGTCACGTGCCCACCGTCGGTGAACTTTTTTCTTTCTTGAGACTTCTGACTTTGCCTTGTGGACGAACTGTGGTGATCACTGAGACACTTCCCACAGTTACGCTACACTCTTTCGACGCTCTAGAAACTTCTCGCTCACTCTACGACCCTTTCGCCGCCCGTCGCCGTCGACGACTGCCGTTCGTGCCACTCCAGTCGACAGCCCGGCGGTCCCGCGGCCCGCGCCCTCCCAGACACCCCTCCGAGGGCTGCCCTGCGTCTGTCGATGGGGCGATTAGCCACGGTCACGTTCGGTGGCGCCCTGGCAGGGTCCTAACCTTCCATAGCCGCGTCGCCGCTATGAGTTGATTCCCAGCCGCCCTCCAAACTCGGCTGGTGGAGCGAGCCGCGCCAGCCCGTGTCCGGCCGCCGACAGCGGTGACTCATCTGAGCGGCCGGGAGGACTGCCGACCCGCCCCACCGACCGACCCACCCAGCGCGCCCCGCCCGCGCCCGGTGTACCGGTCTGGCCGGCAAAGGTGCTCCTCATCAGATACCTCCCATGCTTGACGAGAGGCTCGCCCAGCCAGCGCGGCGGTGTCTGCCGACCCCCACCCCAGCGGAGGGCTTACGGAGGCCAGGGCACCCCTTCCCTGCCCACACAGCAGGCAGTAAACGGTTGCCTAGCAACACTGCGCCACAACGTTTCTGGCCCAGCACTGGGACATTGTGCTACATATGGGAATAGAAGTATTTCTTTTTATTCTACCTGTGTATTTATATACCGCCCAACCGACGGCGTTCCGATTGCCTACCTAGGAGCAACACCTCGCACCCCACGAACCTCCCAGCATTTCCAACGCGTATCCCCACACCCCCAATAGGGACCGTAACCATGCCGCACGGATCGTCCGCTCGACTACTTACTCTGCCAGGGCGTTCTGCAGGAGTACCATCACCTCCTCTCGCACCTTGGCCAGCTTGTGCGAGAAGGCCGGCGTCAGCTTCTCAAACATCAGCTGCGGCGACATCGTGTGCAGCATCAGCATGATGAGCAGGATGTGCGCCTTGTCCCGAACACTCTCCTTGGAGTCGCCTGCGGCGGGTCACAGACGATTAATATCCGTGGGGAGAGGTCGGGTCAGCGGGGCGAGTCAGACAGGTAGGGACAGACTGAGCCATGACGTGATATTGAGTACGACAGGACACCGGCCGCCCCTGACGGTGCAGCGCCCGTTAGTCACACGGTAGTTGTAGGACGGTGATAGCGACCAGTCTGGGTGGAGACCGGCCGTACACAGTCGGTAGCAGCCGGTCAGACCGGGGTGAGTCACCGCGCCCGACTACAGCACACACGCGACAGCTGCCGACAACAGGCCAACCGGTCTGCCAACGACTGACGCCAGCAGCTACTGCACAGACTGCACGGCTTGGACCAATACCCAGGCGACCATATCAACAGGCGGGACTACCGTTCACAGATACCCGATCAGCCGGATATCGTTCTCACACAGACGAACACCAATCACAGACAGGAGTAACAGCCGCCGAGCGGTCTGAGTAGCGGGCTAATGGGCCAAGTCACCAGCTCCGCCCCCTCCATCAACAGCCAACAGCGCGGGGGTAACGGACCACGGCTGAGCGCACATGCACTCATCCCTGGACAGAGCGACTGACAGCGTTACACGCACCGCCAGCCGCAACGCGTGCTGTAATACAAACATACAACTGACCCGACTTAATTTGGACGAGCCTCGCATAGTTCAACCAAGCAACTCTACACCGTTATTCTGCAAACAAACCACCCACATTCGGGCTGTAAATGAAATCACCCTCTGTACAAAAACGAGCCTTGAGCTGGCGAGAAGCTGGCAGCCGGGTGTTTAGAGAGCTAACGAACCAAAACAGACAGGTGACGAGGCGCGTCCTTCGCTCGCATTCCGCGTGCACTTTGTGGTGTCCGTGTGACGGATGACCGTGTTTGCGGTGATACACCGGTGGCGGCACGTCATCAATCGTCGGCACGATAACCGGGCTGATAACACCGGTGGCGGCACGATAACCGGGCTGAGAGCGGCAGCGCTCCGCTAACGAGGAATGAACCGACAGACTGGCCGGTTGGCGCAACTCGCGGCCAAGGTCAGCACACACCAGCACAGTGCGTTACAACGCGGGACACGGTCAGGACAGACAGACGGGCACAGACTGGTACTCACAGTATGGACCGAGCCCGGGGAGACCACCGGCCTCCAGCCACGACGGACCACACGACACGGCGCCGACCGTGGGGTCAAGGTCACCCAAATACAGAACGAACACGGTCCATGCCCGACAGGACATTTATCTTCCCCACCATACAGAGGAGACCATTCGCCTGGGACCACGCACAATCCACACGGCGAGACAAAGACGGCATTTCGCACACATTTCCCAACAGTGCCCCAGTTTCACTCTCTAGCCGCAGCGAGCTATTTGCCATTCAAAAACACACAGGCAATGGCAGCATACCACCCTCACCATTACCGACAGGTTCGCATCCAGCCGTCACCGCCATGCCACATACCACCACGTCACGTCAGACCAACACCCCCCCCCCCTCACGCTTCGTACCTAGCCTGTCGACGGCGTCGGGCAGCACGGCGTTGACGTACGGCCGGAAGTCGGCTTTCATCCTCTTCACCAACAGACCCATGATCTCCAGACCATTCTGAGATACCTGCGGCACAAGACAAGTACAGGTTCAATGGTCGGACGATGACAGGGTAATGCAGTTTATGCGGCTTAAGGCCAGACCGATTGGCATTCATGCGAGGCAAAACAGTAGCGCTGCATTCACCGCTGTTGTTGATTCACTGAGCGGCGACTTTCATGTTTATGACAAACATATCCGGCAGGTTCCGGCGATCAGCGAGCAACAATGCATCGGCCACATATAAGGAGTTTGGTGAAATGCTGGCTGGGGATATTGGCATACAGGACACAGTGCTAGCCAGTGCTTTGTTACGAACGCCGGTCTTTGATACCATCGTCAAAAGCAGCGAGTGAAAACCATTGATGTAAAAGAGTCATCAATGGCGACATTTCGATGTCCCGCTCACGCATCACGACCTGATTCGTGATCAGAACCGTTTCACCGAAATCGTTAGACATCAGCCTGGATCACCCTCTCCCTCCCACCCAGTCCAATTCTACCTCCTGGCGTCCACAGCGAGAGGCCAGTCATGTTCCAGCATCAAAATAGCCGGTCACGTGCCGCCTGGCCACACCGGCCGCGAGACCACACCGACCGGCCACCGTGCGGCTCCCAGCAGCGGCGGCCGAGAGGAGCGGCCGCCCACGCCACCCGCCGTGTCACTGCGCCGGCCGTGTGTGCGGCCGCGCACCGACCGCCGCTCCATACACGGTGGAAATCCGTCCGCGGCGGCACCGACCGTCCGCGGCGGCCCCTATCACCCCGACATCGGGCCGGCCGGAGGGCCCAGCGCAGAATGCCGATGGCCCGGTGCGTTTCAGAGCGGAGTGTTTCACCCGGTCTCCTGAGCGGCCGCCGATGTCGCCCGCTCCGGAATCAAACATGAGCCCGTCTCACTCGGGCCGTGTGCGCTGGACACGGAGCAGTCGGCGCAGGGACAGACGTCCGGCGGCGCTCCTCTGCAGAACCGGTTCGCCGTCCGTGAGCGCCTATACCCGGATAAAAGCATGTCGGCAAAACTGAACAATCGATAGATCATCGGTGAATAAATCGCCGCGCGGCCCATTGGCTATCCGATCACGGCGGCTTTCAACGGCACCATCTCGACGGACCCTTTTCGGGAGGTAATGACGTTGTCCGCCTGCGCTCGAAATGCCACAGTTCAGTGGTAACGTCGCGAGCTTCGTTCCCCACCGGGACCGCACGCCGGCTGCCGGCTCACATTGGCACGGCAGTAGCTCTCCAAGTTCTATTATCCTGACCAGAGTTAATTATGTCATAAATAACGGGTATAGCGTTCCAAAGCCTGCGACTTTCAAACTCATTGTAGCATACGCATTCATTTCCACCCACGGCTTACTACTGACCTCGTGATTTGTCAACAGAACACGTACAGACCATTGTTTTAATAAGACGCTTTATTTCAGCCAGTCTGAGAAAAAAAATCAGTTTCTGAGCGAGAACGATAGGTACAGTGCACAATACTGTCACCTGGTTTAGCATTACAACAACAAAGTAACATGTAACGACCTAATTCTGTAGCAATGCAGCGCTCTCGTTGACACGCAAGGACATGGCGAATCGCATGTCGCCTGATACACTGCAACACGCCAGATACCTATCACAGCTAGGCAACGATTTCAAACAAAGAACCTCTAGGAATTGGCGACAGAATGCGGTTGGTCGCCGGCCGGCAGCCAGCTGCTCCACATGAGCCCGGTCCACGGTAACATCCATCCCTGAGAGCGCAGTCCGCGGACCGCAGTCGATATCGGCCCCGTTCCAGGGACAGACCTGGGTCACCGTCCGCCCAGGGTAGTCTCTGACTCCGGTGACGTCACCAGTGACTCATCGCACGCGTCTGCTACAGCAGAGACCTTATTAGTACTGCGTGAGGCGATCCCACGCTCACTCCGATACATCGTCGCCCAGCCTCGTAACGGTTTTTCCAATCCTCAGCAACCGCAGAGCACATCCTCTCATCATCAGCAAGTAACTGGAACGTCAAATTGGGCTGTGCGAAGTCGATCGCCCCGCCATGCCCTCTGATGGACCATCCAATCCTGCATCCAAGCTCCACCCCTTCCCCGCCACCAATGCACCTGAACAGAGTCCGGCGCTCCACGCCCCTTGTGCCGCTCAGGGGCGTGGCCGCGGTTCGGCGCTGTCTGTTGTTTGGGGGAGGCGGCGCGGTGAGTCAGCCGCGGGGCATCGCACCGCCACCGGCCCCCGGCCCAGCCCGGCTGGGTCAGCTGAAGCATCGATCGGCGGCGCGGCGCGGCGGGCCGTTACGGGCCGGGACCACGTGCCGCCCAGACAGCGGGCGGGGCGGGGCGGCGGCGGGGGCGGGGGCGGCAGATCCCCTCGGATCGGTCCGGCCCGACCGCCAGATCTGCCACATTACTGGGTAAATACCGCGGCGCCATATGGAATACATCTGCCGCAATGGTGGACAAACACTACGGCAGCCCCGTCTGCCGTCACAAAGCCCATGCACCGTGCAGGATCTACCGATGAATATGAATAGGATATCACACAAAAATGAAAATCTGCTTATAAGGAAAGATAGGTTACTTTTCCGACGAACATCTTTCAAATTCAAATGCCTGATTGAAACTGCCCTGAGCAGTAAATTAAAGCAAATGGATCACCAGACACCAAGTACATACACTTAAAGTTAAAACCCTTGCAAAGCCTCAAGTAGGTACTCATGCCTCTACAGCCTCTGAAGCACACAAACTACATATTTATACAGATCGATAGTCGATAACTTCTGATAAAAAGAGTAAGAACTATGAATCCGACAGAAAAACATCATTCTAAGACAAAGACAACAGTTGCCTTTCACATTTCCCCAATAATTCGAGATTTGTTCGTCGGCACGCAGCGCAAAAAAGCTTCATTTATCACTCCAGCCTTTCCTGCCTATTCCGCAAGGCGTGCGAGCCATTAGCTAATGACTGGCCGCTGTTGACACACTCAAACAGCGTGTTCGGCGGCGACAGCGGGACGACCGATGAGGCCCGACATCGCCTGCAGCGGCGACCACGCGTAGGACCTCCAGGTATAACGGAGCGCATTCACAGGACATTCACACTGCAACTTCAGTGGATTAATTTTGGTCTGGTCTAGTCGTAAATTGATACATCAACATTGATTCCTTCATCAAAAACTAGTTACGTTATTGATCCTGTTTATCAACTTTCCATATCCTAATCCCCAAATCCAAGACAAAACCTCTGTCCCACCCGATGTTCCAGAGCCGTAAGGACGTCAGTAAAGGCGTCGAGACAGGGGTAGGGTGTATGTAGAAGAGGCGGCACTCGAGAGGTGTAGAAGAAGTACCGATTTCACGGCGCCTAACAGCAAGCGCGGACACGCTGGCCCCGGCTCCACCTCCCGCCGCCGGTCCACCAGCACCCACCACTCCTTCACAGACCCGCGGTACGTGCCCCCAGCTGGCGGCCCCGCCAATCCCATCAATGCAGGAGCGACCGTGACGACGGAGATTCAGTCACTGATCAGCCAAATCGCCACTCCCCGTCAGTAGATGCGCAAGACCAATGCTGGAAAGCTGCCGACATATCGCTTGCAATGAAGGGAATGCAGGCCTTCCTCGAAGACAGCTCGATGATGCTTCAGTATGCATTACTGCGTTGTTCTAAATAGCATTTCGAATAGTAACTTAGCAGAAAAAGTGACAAACTTGAACTTAGCCCCATATGAAATCGGCTCCACACAATATCTGTTGTAATGCATTGCTCGAACTCTAACCTGCCACCGTTAAAAGCTAACGTAGCTCGTTTAGCGCGACGTAATCAGCGCACATTGACTCTGGCCAATGTGACCCGCATACACGGCACTCATCGCGGAAGTTCTGCCTTTCCTCCAGATAGCGAGAAACTCGGGGCCCAACGAGGAAGTAGAATGAAAGAAATGGCAGCTCATACGAGTACGCAGTCTGGTGCTCTTCACTGTCACAAAACCTCAACGCTATAACGCCCCTCTAAAGTCACACACCTGCCAAACAAAACAGCCGCCGGATGCCATGCAGCGGACGACAGTTGGCAGGACACCAGCCAGCGCCGCCATTCAAACCGGCAGCGAGGCGCGGCACTCCCCTGCCGCCCACACGGCCCGCGGCGACCCTGCAGCCAGCTCCTGACCTCACGCGCCGGACCGGAGCGGAGCCGGCCGTCACTGAAGGTCAGGCGGCGTCGGAACCGGGCCGCGCCGCCGGCACCGCGCACACGGGCGGCCTTCGCAGCCGACCGGCGGCGAGCGCGTGATGAGGCGAGGTCATCCGGCACACCCACCGGTCACCGCCGCCGCTGACAGATCCCGTGGGAGGAGACCGCTACTGGGACAGAGCCCGCTGGCCAACACCAGCTCAGCACAGCTGGCTGACTGGGTGAGGTGAGACGACGAGCGAGCAAGATGAGGTGCGCAGTGCGCACAGGACAGGAAGGAATGTCTATTGTGTTTAACTGCTATCAACCGCCTTAAAAAGTAAAGGTCAGTAATAGCAAGAGTACAAAACAGGATGATCTCCAAAATTCAGGAAAAAGACTTTCAAAAGTGGCATAAATAAACATATACGAACATGGTGCGCCTTGCGCCACTACAGTGATACAGAGAGGCGGTTTGATCAATGCCACAGCGGTCCCACTCCTCTCTATTTGAAGGCTCTTCCTGGCGGCGTCTTTCTCAACATGCATCACGCAACGTCGGGCGTGCGAAAAGGAGCGAGCCGCCCGCACGCCACACGGCTCTACAGAATCTACCGTCCGAGGAGAGCGGCCCCGGCCTCTCCACCAGCGCCCTCGACCACTCGGCCCGCTCACTTCCTCAATGCAGGGAAATTGAGCCGTATCAGCCGCCTCTCAGCGTGCTGCACCGCGACTATTGCCACAGGTCAAGGTAGAGAGCGTGATACTACCAGCCTGGTATTAACGTAAATATATCGATATGCTGGTGTTGAACGAGGGCTGATAGCCGTGCTGATAACACTAACTCTGATTTAG